GTACGGAACGGCTGATCTTCTTCGCCCCCTCCCCCCCCCCCCCCCCCCCCCCCGGCAAATAAATCCGAAATCGATCGGAAAACACCACGACAGCATCGACACAATGATGCTTCCCCCCCCTCCGTAAAACCGAAATCAATCCGAAAACAACACGACAGCATTGTGCTTACCCTTCCTCCTCCCTACCCTTCCCCCCTTCCCCCCCCCCAAAATCGATCCCGAAACATCACGGCAGCGTCATCGAGACGGAGCTACCCGACACGTCCACCTACAGAGGAAGAGGTGTCCCTCCGGGGGGAGTTAAAATCCGCTGCTCCCTCGACCTGGCGGACGAGTTCACCTGCGCGTGGCCCGCCCTACTCCTGCGTCACGGAGCCCCCTCTTCTGGCTCTGGGGGCGACGCAGATGAGGAGGGGGGCGGGAGGGGGGGGGGCGTCGAGAAGTGGCGGGTTTCGGCCGGGTTCGGGGGTCTGGTGCTGTCCAAGGTGGCGAGCGGGGAGGGCGCGGCAGCGGACTCTTCCCCTTTTCTTAGGTGCGGTTTTGTTTTTTTCCCTTTTCTTTCTCTGAAGTATTTATATTTTTTGTTAGGCTGTTGCGAAAATTGGTTCAAAATGAAGTCTTTCTCTCTCTCTGAATGTAATATTTATATTTGGTTGGATTCTTGCGAAAATTGGCTACAATTGGACGGGTGGTTCTTTACGAGGTGGTCCTGATTTGGATTGCATCTGCTTTTGTCTTCGGGACAGTATTTACGTGTCAGGTCTTGAGATATTTTCATGCTTCGTGTTAATTTGACCGATATCGTCACAGCACTTGTTTTTAAGCGGGACCTGCTGCTCCGGCAACCTGTGTGATTTTAAACAAAGTTTTGGTTGATACGAATGTTTGACGCTCTTCAAGATTGGCTGCCGAAAAATCTGCCGTGTGGATGTACTATTTTTTTTTTTGCAGGATGGATCCGTCCGGTCCAGCAGACGGGTACGTGATGGAGGTGTACGAGAACCAGAGGAAGAAGCAGCCGTGGGGGTGGGGTTCCGGCAGAAAGCGTCACCTGAGGACCTCGGACCCCGGCCGTTTCTCTGATGCGAAGGGAGAGAACCGTCTCCACGTCAAGCTTCTCGAACAGGCGCGTGTGTGTAATGAAACCCACATGTTGTAGGTTGGGTTAGATATCACACCCCGTGGGCCGATTTTCGAAGCTGGATTACTCGGCAAGGAAAGACGGCGACGGTGCCGAAAATGGCGGTAGGCGTTAGAACCGTCTCATCGAGAGCGTTCCCAAAGTGCATCGTTTGATTTCGGCATCCTCTTCGTCGTGGAGTAAGTGACAACCCGGCGTGCTCCGTCCTGGCCTTGTAGGGACGCGAGCTCGACGATGTAAACGACTACGGCATGCACGGCTATGAGTACCTCCCCCCCCCCCCCCCCCCCCCATTTCCCCCCCGCCCCCCAAACAAACCTTTTTTTTTTTTTTTATACCTCTCAAAAAAATAATTCCCTAAATTTTTTAAAAACCTTCTATTTTCCCTTATTTCAAAAAAAAACCTT